AGATATTGACACGTGTCATATTTTTTTTCCAAAAAAATAATAATTTAATCATAAAACTTCTGAAGGCCGTAACTTTTGACTCGGGTATCCAAATCAGGTAATTCTTTTTTTAATTCCTCATAACTTTTCGAGATCTACGCAATGAGATCTCATTTGACATATTTTATTTCTCACAAACACAATTTAAATTTGCAAGAATAATATTATAAGAAACGTTAAACCCGGAAGCCTCTGAGTTCTGGATTTGTGATTTAATATAAATAAATAAATAAATAAAAATTTGATTTGTGATTTAATTTTTTTTTAATAATATTTTTTTATTATAACAAAAATTTGGTTTGTGATTTAAATTAAAAATTAAAATTAAAATTATTATTAATAACGAAAACAAAATAAAGATTTGATTTGTGACTTAAGCTTAAAAATCATTTTGAAAAATCTGTAGAAATAAAGGAAATAATTAAATAAATATTCTAAATCTCTAAGGAAGAAGAATATTATTTTTGAAATTAATGATTAATGCTATAAGCTTCTAAGTTATTATTTATGGTCTGAAATTAATTATGGCTTATGCATTTTTTTCAAAAATAAAATTACCTAAATTAGGCGTGATTGCCTCTTGATTGAAACCCAATTTAGACGTCATTGGTGACGTGTCAGGTGTTGACACGTGTCACATTTTTAAACTCAGAAGCCTCTGTGTTTTGGGTTTGTGATTTAATATAAAAAATAAATCAAGATTTGATGTGTGATTTAAATTAAAAAATAACAATTATTATTAATAAGGAAAACAAAATAAAGATTTGATTTGTGATTTAAACTCAAAAATCAATTTGAAAAATCTGTATTAATAAAGGAAATAATTAAATAAATATTCTAAATCTCTGAGGAAGAAGGATTACCTGATTTAAATTTAAATTATGTTTGTGAGAAATAAAATATATCAAATGAGATGTCATTGCGTAGATCTCGAAAAGTTATGTGGAATCAAAAAACAATTACCTGAATTGGATACCCGAGTCAAAAGTTATGGCCTTCATAAGTTTTATGATTAAATTATTATTATTTTTTTATAAAAAATGACACGTGTCAACCTTAGGTGAGAGATGCCTAAATGAGGCGTCACATTGTAAAATAGATCCGTAATTATTTCCAAAACTGCCATAAATGCGTAATATTTAATTAAAATGCAATAATTAAATTTTTTTGCCAATTTTATATATCTCAAAGATATGAATTAGTATTATTATATCTCCTTGGAGTGATGGATCAATCAAAAAATTAATGACTCTACTAATTTAATTTAATATATTATTTAAAAGTAATATATTTAAAATCAAATTAAATCTAATCATGCCAATTATTAAAAAAACTTTAAAATATATCTTGTTTTTAAAATAAAATAAAATAAAAACATAAATGAAATGATAATTAAAATTCATAAAATTTATACTTAATATATTTTAATTTTATTTATCCTGATATGATAAGCATAGGTTGTGTCAAAATTTCTATATAAATACATAAAATACAAAATTTAAAAGTACACAATACGATAAAGTTTTGTTTCAAAATTTAAAAGTACATAATACAAAATTTAAAAGCACAAATTCTTTTAGTTTTAAAATAATCATTGTTTAAAGATTTGTACAAAAATTAAATAATTCATTAAATTCTTTACGATTTAATGAAAATATAAGTTTATTTGATTTTATTACACCTTCACTCTATTAAATCATTCTTATTCCAATAAGTAGAAATAAAAAAATAAAGTAGAGCTAAGAAAATAATATTTTTTTTTTAAAGTGACAAATAATTTAGAATAAATTATAACTTTTTAAATACAATTAGATACATAAAATGTGCCTATCATAGTAGAAAGCAAGTTAAATTCAACACCATATTATTTAAGTGGAAAGTGTTTGTCATTTTAAATGACATAAAGTTATGTCATTTGTAACGCCCGGTCGCTTCAAGAATCAATGACTATCCCCACATACTAACACGAGACTTTTCAGTGTGCTTTTTCCTCACTCGCACACTTCCCGGGAAAACTTCCTAGGAGGTCACTCATCCCATAATTGCTCCTAGTCAAGCACACCTAACTGTGGAGTTCTTCCGATCCGGGCTACCGAAAAGCAGATGCATCTTGTTAGTATAGGTAGTACCAATTGATTCTTATAAGCTATTCTCAAACTGTGCAGTCTCATACCTGCACAGTCTTTGGAATTCTTCTCTTTCGGGTGTCGATTCGATTCATTCATGCATGTAACCCCACGCTGGAAGCCTGTCAGGAGCCGCTCCTTGTCCGTGCCCCTTTGCACCGGCGATTACTCCCTGCCCTCGTCAGCGCTCTAGATGTTACATCATTTTAATAGAGAGATTCACACAAGAAATTATTTTTTATTTAAAATTTAAATTAAAAAAATCACTCACTTTCTCTCCCATGATTTTCATTTCTTATCTCTATATCTCTCCTAAAATAATATAACTTATGTCATTTAAAATGACAAACATCAAACTCATTATTTAAACATGGTCCTATCACTTAATTTGTTTTTAGCTTTTTTTTTTTTTTAAGAAAAAACCCAAGCAAGACCTGATTATCAAACTTGTGCAGGACAACAAATTAGACATGATTAGTTATCAAACTTCAAGACCTAATACGTCAAATGCTTTGACGGGATTAGCCAAAAAAATTAAGTCCATGTTTTTTAATAAATTAATTACGCATTTATTACAGTTTTGGAAATAATTATATATTTATTGTACAATATAACGACCAATTTGGGCGTCACTCAAGACGCCTAAATTGGGCGTCACTCAAGAGGCAATCATACTTAATTTAGGCGTCATTTATCAGATATTGACACGTGTCATATTTTTTTCCAAAAAAATAATAATTTAATCATAAAACTTCTGAAGGCCGTAACTTTTGACTCGGGTATCCAAATCAGGTAATTCTTTTTTTAATTCCTCATAACTTTTCGAGATCTACGCAATGAGATCTCATTTGACATATTTTATTTCTCACAAACACAATTTAAATTTGCAAGAATAATATTATAAGAAACGTTAAACCCGGAAGCCTCTGAGTTCTGGATTTGTGATTTAATATAAATAAATAAATAAAAATTTGATTTGTGATTTAATTTTTTTTAATAATATTTTTTTATTATAACAAAAATTTGGTTTGTGATTTAAATTAAAAATTAAAATTAAAATTATTATTAATAACGAAAACAAAATAAAGATTTGATTTGTGACTTAAGCTTAAAAATCATTTTGAAAAATCTGTAGAAATAAAGGAAATAATTAAATAAATATTCTAAATCTCTAAGGAAGAAGAATATTATTTTTGAAATTAATGATTAATGCTATAAGCTTCTAAGTTATTATTTATGGTCTGAAATTAATTATGGCTTATGCATTTTTTTCAAAAATAAAATTACCTAAATTAGGCGTGATTGCCTCTTGATTGAAACCCAATTTAGACGTCATTGGTGACGTGTCAGGTGTTGACACGTGTCACATTTTTAAACTCAGAAGCCTCTGTGTTTTGGGTTTGTGATTTAATATAAAAAATAAATCAAGATTTGATGTGTGATTTAAATTAAAAAATAACAATTATTATTAATAAGGAAAACAAAATAAAGATTTGATTTGTGATTTAAACTCAAAAATCAATTTGAAAAATCTGTATTAATAAAGGAAATAATTAAATAAATATTCTAAATCTCTGAGGAAGAAGGATTACCTGATTTAAATTTAAATTATGTTTGTGAGAAATAAAATATATCAAATGAGATGTCATTGCGTAGATCTCGAAAAGTTATGTGGAATCAAAAAACAATTACCTGAATTGGATACCCGAGTCAAAAGTTATGGCCTTTATAAGTTTTATGATTAAATTATTATTATTTTTTTATAAAAAATGACACGTGTCAACCTTAGGTGAGAGATGCCTAAATGAGGCGTCACATTGTAAAATAGATCCGTAATTATTTCCAAAACTGCCATAAATGCGTAATATTTAATTAAAATGCAATAATTAAATTTTTTTGCCAATTTTATATATCTCAAAGATATGAATTAGTATTATTATATCTCCTTGGAGTGATGGATCAATCAAAAAATTAATGACTCTACTAATTTAATTTAATATATTATTTAAAAGTAATATATTTAAAATCAAATTAAATCTAATCATGCCAATTATTAAAAAAACTTTAAAATATATCTTGTTTTTAAAATAAAATAAAATAAAAACATAAATGAAATGATAATTAAAATTCATAAAATTTATACTTAATATATTTTAATTTTATTTATCCTGATATGATAAGCATAGGTTGTGTCAAAATTTCTATATAAATACATAAAATACAAAATTTAAAAGTACACAATACGATAAAGTTTTGTTTCAAAATTTAAAAGTACATAATACAAAATTTAAAAGCACAAATTCTTTTAGTTTTAAAATAATCATTGTTTAAAGATTTGTACAAAAATTAAATAATTCATTAAATTCTTTACGATTTAATGAAAATATAAGTTTATTTGATTTTATTACACCTTCACTCTATTAAATCATTCTTATTCCAATAAGTAGAAATAAAAAAATAAAGTAGAGCTAAGAAAATAATATTTTTTTTTTAAAGTGACAAATAATTTAGAATAAATTATAACTTTTTAAATAAAATTAGATACATAAAATGTGCCTATCATAGTAGAAAGCAAGTTAAATTCAACACCATATTATTTAAGTGGAAAGTGTTTGTCATTTTAAATGACATAAAGTTATGTCATTTGTAACGCCCTAGGCCAAAACCTAATCTGACGAGTGGTAGTCTTAATTTCTATTTAAGATAGACTCAGCTGGTTCCTACAAGAGTAGGGTGGCGGGTTTTGCCACTGCTCCTCCTTGTGGGGCATTGTCTCTGATGACCGCGGGAAGAGGCCTAAAGAGGAAGATAGGTTGCATTGACGTGGCTACCCAGATGGGGAGGAAGAACAAGATTGAAGATGATTATGTTACTGGGGTGAGGATCGGGCAAGGAAAGTATGGATCTGTTTTGTTGTGTAGGTCTCTTGTTGGCGGCGCGGAGTATGCGTGTAAGACTATGAAGAAGGGGGATGAGACTGTTTACAGGGAGGTGGAGATAATGCAGCACTTGTCTGGGCATCCTAGGGTTGTGACTCATCTGGCAGTGTATGAGGAAGCTGATTGCTCTCATCTGGTGATGGAATTGTGCTCTGGGGGAAGACTTCTCGACCAGATGTTTAGGGAGGGCCCTTGTTCTGAACAGCGGGCTGCTAATATACTTAAGGAAGTGATGTTGGTCATCAAGTATTGTCATGATATGGGAGTTGTGCACAGAGATATCAAGCCTGAGAATATTCTGCTTACTGCTTCGGGGGAAATAAAGCTTGCTGATTTTGGCCTGGCCATGAGAATTTCTAAGGGTAATATGTTAAACCTGTTTGGATGATCTTCTTTTTTTGTTATCCTATGGTATATATATGTGCTAACTTCTATGAATAGAATCCTTACACAACCTGCCTTGTGTAAAATTCCATCCTAGTCATTCTGTTAATAAAAAATGTCTAGGCAAGTTTGAAGAAGTTCATCATGATGAGCTTTCAACTGAATTGTACTTTACTAATGTTACCCTGTACATAGGAGTAAAAATTGGAGAGTTCAAATGGTCATCTCCCTTAAGTTTACTATGTTCAGTATTCAATTAAATTTGCTAGCGGTCTAAGAATAAGAGGTCCTAGAGAAAATGCTTATAATAGTTTGAAGCTAACCATTCATACTCTAAGGTCACTTTGTTTAATTTTTAAGCATTTAAAAATATCAGTAATTCAATTGACATATATATAAATACACACACATAAGTAAAAGATACATACATGCATACATGAGTAATTTATGCATAGCCTCATTGTCTAGAAATTTGCATTGCAGGTCAGAACTTGACGGGTTTGGTTGGGAGCCCTGCATATGTTGCACCAGAAGTGTTGTTGGGTAGATACTCAGAAAAGGCGGATATATGGAGTGCTGGAGTGCTCCTGCATGCTCTGTTGGTTGGTGTTCTTCCATTTAAAGGGGATTCACAAGAAGCAGTTTTTGAGGCTATTAAGAATTCCAAGCTAGAGTTCCAAACCGGGATGTGGGAATCAATATCTAAACCTGCACGAGATCTTGTTGGGAGAATGCTGACAAGGGATATTTCAGCAAGGATAACAGCTGATGAAGTACTTAGTAAGTTTATGGTAGATTATTAATGTTTTGTAGCGTGCTTTATCTCTCTTCCTCAATGATGAATACACCAAAGACTAGTTGTATTTGGTCTGATTTTTTTGTTTTTTAATCTTGAAATAATTAAAATTAGAAATTTCCAAGTTTTGTTGAAAAGTATCTTTGCCTTTCACATGAATTCTTAATAATTAGAAGGATTGCCTTGTTTTGGTTGGGATAACAGTGGTGGGAATCTGTTAATTCTCACATACTTTTGTTAGTTTTTATTATGTGTTCTTCTATGTGGTTGAGGCTCTCTTTTTCTCCCTAATGTTTTTAAACAGGAAATAAAATGACAGTACTTTTAAGTTTTAAGAACTGTTCGATTGTTTGCATGTTAAATTAATATTATGTGGTTCAATTTCAGGACATCCATGGATATCTTTCTACACAGAACGTACATTGAAGATCCTGCCCGTTGAATCAAAGTTGAAGCACCAAAATGGAGCTGCTTGCCACAACTTTGTTGCTGCACCTGAACCTAGGTTAGGAAGAAACAGGATGGATGATGGGTTCCTTAATGAGGTTTCAAGCCTTTCTTCATCATCTGAAAGTTGCAATTCAGAATATCATGATGTTTGTGTGTGGATTGATGCACTTGCCAATGCAATTTCACATGTAAGGATATCTGAACCAAAGAGGAGCAAGTTGTGGGCAGTTCCAATTCATCAGCAAGGTTTATGAGTGCATAAGCGTATGTTATCCCTCCCATAACGCGCTGCATGTGTACTTATTTAGTGTTGGCAATTTGTATTTCAAGACATACTTTTTTGTACAGATGGTAGCGAGGAGTTTGACCTTGAGTCAATTATATATAGCAATGGCGTTTACTTTGAAAATGGAGTTGACAGCTGCTTGCTTATTTTCACTGAAAAAAAAAAGGAAAAAAAAGTACAGCTACTTGTGTTTAGAAGAGGCGAATCTTAACTACCGGGGGATAGATTTTGAAAGGCTATAAAAGTTGAGATTCTTTATCTGTTAAGGTGAGTTTAAGGGGTAATCTAGATAATAGGTAGGAACATATTTAGGAAGAGGGTATATGAAATTAATGTTAAACAAATTTGAGTTGATAGAAAAATATGGATTGTAGTAAAAATCATCAAAACATAACCATAAAATGAATTCATAATTTATATAAATATAATCAAAACTAGATTGATTGTGAATTAATGTTAAACAAATTTGTTTATTATTAGTTAATTTTGGTAACTTAAAGCAGATTAAAAATATGTAATCATAATAAATTACTTCTAGATTGTAGTAATATAATCATCAAAACATAACCATCAGTGTGTCCCGTAAAACTTTTAGACATAAATAGTTTTGTCAATAAAGAGGACAAATGATATATTTTTTATATAAATATAATCAAAATCTTTGGATTGAGGGGAGAAAGGGGAGAAAGTTTTTAAAGTAATTCATGTAAAATTAAAAATTAAAAAAATTGTGTCATTAAAAAATTATTAATGGGTTTTTCTCTTTAAAAGTTGTTTTATGTTTAAACCTTTTAAAAAGAGTAAAAGTCATAAAAAAAAAGTTAAAAATCTTTTTTTTAAAATGAAAATTTTAGCTTCTAAAAATAACATAAGTTAAAACACAAATATTTTTTCAAAAACTAAATATTTTTTAAAAATCTAAATAACTTTAACTTTTATAAAAAGTACTTCTAAAATAAATAAAATAAAAAAATATTTTTTTTGAAAACTTATCCAAACAATCATTTATTCTCATAGAAGTGAAACAGAGCACTTTTATTATTATTGTGAATTTAAATTGGAATCAAGGAATGGGAACACCAATTTATCAAGTATATATTATTTTATTTTTTAAAAATTCCTGATACTAATTAGAGAAATCAAATAAAGGA